AACGCTCAGTAAGCTCTTCCTACGCTTTATCTCCGAGCAACTACGTTATACGTAATGCTGGGTCGCGCCGTCATTTTTTTTTTTATCGCGTAGGAGATACCTGTACATTGTCGCTACGAGGACCAGCATCCCTAGACACGGCTATGGCGCGCATATTAAAATTCTTGTAGCTGTACAAACGTGATAAATGTCTTACTTGTCTGCAACCACGTGCTATTAAAAAAAAAAAGAAAAGAAAAGAAAAGAAAAGAAAAGAAAAAAATGCAAATTATATTCGCTCGACAGAAAAGAATTGACGCAAATATTCATCTTATTTCAGCTGCGATTCTCGATAAAATATCTCAACGATAAAAAGTCCACTTAAATTAAAAATCGAGGCGCAAATATTTTACAATTAAACTTTTACGAACTATCGACCAAGAGATCGCGGAAATTTAGAGGGGTGTATATTTTGATGGCGCTCGACTTGACTTCCTGTTTGTCGTGACCCCTCGAGTTCCGAGCGACGCCGGCGCCAATGCCTCGCTACGCTAGACTGTTGCGTCGCACAGAATTCGCGTAGGTGCAATGCGAAATCGCGTGGGCGGGATGGATGGGACGGACCGTCGTTGTATGCGGGCTCCCGCACGCACGCTCCCTCAGTGCTTCCCAAACTCGAGGTTCCGCAAAAACGTGAAAATAGGCCCACGGTGGTGATCCGCCGTGATATCGTCGGTTCGTTCGGCACGCGTTCTCCATCCGCGTTCGAGCCGATGAATCTCAAGCGTCACGTGCACAATACAAGCACGCGCCGATTACGGCCTTCCAATTATTACGTAAATTGCAAATTAATCGGGATTATGTAATTGGACTGCTTTATTTGAGCTGGATCATTCGCTGGAATCGTCACCACTTCGACGCTCTCAATTTTATCCGCGGCACATTCATCGCGCGAGATTAACAGCTTTCGAAAATTGGATATCCCTAATCAATATAAGGGGAGGGGCGGGTGAACGAATAAAAAATAGATTTCAAAAGCCTCTCGCCCCTCATTATGATTATGATAGGAATTCAATTTTCGAAAGCTGTTAACTTTACGCGACGGATTAAAATTTTTCGCGCGGGAGCTCACGTCACCTCATTAAAAAGCTTCCCTCCCCCCCCTCTC